GGCGTAGAAGTGGAGAGGGAGGTGGTGGTGTAGCTGTAGGGGCGCCAGAAAGGGATGGCGAGTGCACCGAGAAGGAGGATTTGCAGCTGACCTCTGACGTCAGGCCTGACGTCATCGCGAAGGGAATCGACCCGCGGATAAAGAGAGGTGGCTCCCTTTTTCCACTGGCACCATGACCCACCATCGGATTACTAGGGCATTTAAAATACCTCGGAAGTACTTGTCCTACGTTCGTTATTCTTTCAGCGTGCCGTGAACCTTTGCTGTGACTTGATTTTGCCGCAGAGAGATGCGGAATGCAGCCTACACTGCCGCTCAAGGCGCCGGTGGTGAGGTTTAATGATAGCTTCTTTCTTCTTGGGTTTCCATTGTCCTTTGACCCTAATATTTTTTACGCTATTCTGTTTCGGTAGCTTTATCTACGAGGTAAGGAACAAACACATCGTTGATCACGCGCCGATGCACCACTGACCTCTGCCATTCTAGGTGGAGGGAAAGGGGAGAAGAGGCGAATCTCTGTTAGGTGGTGCAGGAACTGAAGGGGGAAGTGGTTATTTTGTAAGAAAGAAAAGAAAAGAAAAGTGAGCCCCGTAACTGTCTGCTTCAGGGAGCGACACCTCAACAGTAGCTCACAAGGGATGGGGGTAAGGAGGGATTAAAAGGATAGGAATAAAGGTGTAGAGAGAGAGAAAGAGAGATGAAGTAAGCGTGAAAGCGTGAGAGTGACGACATATCGAGGCGATAGGAGAGATAGGAAAGATGGAAACACGGTCACAGGAGTCCGAGGACGGGGCAACACTTGCGAGAGCTCTTGTCGGCGTCAGGAGATGGCGTAGAGCAAGTCCAGTCGGTCAGAGCTACACTGTCGTCGGAGGTCGGCGTCAGGAGATAACGTAGGGCGAGCCCAGTCGGCCAGAGCTACGCTGACATCGGAGATCGCGAGGGCACAACCGGTCGGCACGGAAACTTCTAAAGGAGAAGAGGTGGCACATATTGAGAAACTTAGGCACTGCAACTGATGTCTGGTGGTCGTTTGAGGCATCCTAGAACAGTTTGGTATGGGCTCGTGTTCATCAACTGAGCACATCCTTTTATTTCGACACTACTGACATGCAGTTAGGCGAAAAGACGTTCATTAGGTCATAGAGCGTACAGCGTGCGATGCTCCTTTCGCGTGTAAAAACGAAGACATCTTAAGTGCCTTATCATTCTCGGCTTTTTCCGCTGATGTCCTCCGTTTTTCAACTATCAGTGGGACTAAGTAAGGGAAATACGTTAAAAAGTGAAAGTTCACTATTTCATTCGGTACGTCTTGGGTGGCAAAAATCTGCGCCAGTTACTGTCAAGGGAATTTCGAACCTACTTAGGAACCATCGGGTCTTCTCACGCTTGCAAGGCACTTACGATGCAGCCTTTCTGCCGACTCGTTGCAAGCGGGAACCCGCTAAGCGACAAACAGTCGTTTCGTTGTGTTTACTGTCCGTAATATTAAACGTACTGCCGCTATGTCATAGGGTTTATGCTCCGGCCTTACTAACGTAAATGTTTGTGCTAGTTGGTTATGCGACATTCAAAAGAAAACCGAGACAAAACACATTGAATGAAGTAAACGTTTAGTTTTGAAACAGTGCCCGAGAAATGCCCGGTGTCACCTTGAGGTGGGAGGGCTCCTTAGTCCAGGAACCCTCTGGCTTCTACTGCCCTCTTGGCCCTGGCGACGAGTTGTTGGTATTCTAGGTCCTCGAGGGCGAGCTTCGCGTCCCACGTTTCGGTTAGGTCTTCGTTCGTCTGTTCTGCTTCATTATCATTCTTGCGTTGTTGCAGATTACGTCTGGCAATACACTGGCATGCAAGAAGCAAGTGTGCCAGGGTGTCCGGTACGCTGCAGAGCGGGCACATATAGCTATAACTCATTGAGTAGAGACGGTGCATTGGGGCCCCATGTGTGTATGTGCTGCTTTGCAGGCGTCTCAGTATCACGCTTTCCTCTTTTGTCAGTTTTGGGTGTGGTGGAGGGTATACTCGTCGCTCCAGCCTGTAATGCTGGAGTAACGACGAGTAGGTGTTTTGAACAGCTTCCGTCTCTTCAAAGACGGGTCGGATGTCCTGTGGGTAGGGGGCAGCCCGGCTGACGTGCTCGTGGGCAGCGGCGTGGGCCGCTTCATTTCCCTGCAGACCCTCGTGTCGTGAAACATGTGTCTCGTGTCTCGTGACATTGAAAACGAAAAGAACACTAGCGTGAGTCCCGTTGCGTTTTGCGTGTTTCTTTTTGTACACGTGTGAAGAATCATTCCTGTTTACCTTTAACAGCCGTGTTCCATAATTGTAAAGCTAACTTTCCTGCATGTAGCTAGCCTATTTAATGGCAGCTAGTCAGTTCGGCAAAAAGCATTTCGAAACGTACTTTAGTTGGCCTATGATGCGGAAAACGTAGACTCAACTCTCTTGATAAAAACACGAACAATTGAGAAGCCCCAGAACGTGCCAAGAGGACCTTTTCTCCACTTGAAGCCGGCATTAGTTTAGCGAACGTGTAGCTTAGGGAAGCGCACTTGCGAATAATGACAAGGGTCTGTTATCAAGTTTTATCGGTCGAAAAGTATCTCTTGAGTGCTCTCTTAATCATATTCGATGTAAACATTAAACAAGTCGCTTCAGGCTACCACACAGAAAACAAGTAATAATAGATTGAGCCTGACTATGTATGTCTACTCGTTAAATATGCCATATTTCACAGTTAACTCATTAAATGTGCATACCGCTTTGCCTAATGTTTCAAGAATGTGCTGATGCTAGAAGCCGAGACGGCGTCTCTAAAATAACGCACTGAGAAGCAGTTACCTACACTGAATTGCATTACAAATGTTTGTTGAAAGACACAGCTATAGTAATGGCGGAAACAGCGATGCTGCCATTCAATTGCAGGTAATAGAGAATGTGGCTGTCGAAGAATGTCGCTGTCAGTTCAGCTGCCCGGTAGTCATGACCATCGTTTTTTGGCGTGAATATATTCTTAAGAGAAAAGCACTGGACACACTGGGCAGGATTGGTGCATCACGCTGTTAGGTCATTGACAACATTACAGAGTTTTAGCAAGTTAAGAAACACGGTAGCCCAATATAGAAAGGCAGCACGATAGTGTTCCTCTTCCGGTGACAGTGTGTCCTCGTCTAACGGCAGGTGTTTTGTTAAAAATGTGTTCACTGACGGGCAACAGTCAGGTGGGGCTACTCGACAGTAATATTTGAAAAATGCTTTCCTAGTGTTGTTGTCGATCGGCTTACTCTCTGTCGTATGCAAGTTATTTACAAAGGTAATTACGAACAGAATAAGGAAAACATCAGAATTTAATCGACCAAAGGGTCAATTAGGCTTCCTTAAAGGCTACTCAACAACATACCGCATTCATGCCATCCATCCTGTGATAGAGAAATGCTCAGAATACGCCGAACCACTATACACAGCCTTCATATAGATTACGAGACGGCGTTTGATTCCATAGAGATATCAGCAGTTATGCAGATACCGCGTAATAAGGGCGTCGTCCACAAATCATATATAAACATTCTGGAAGAAATCTACAGTAGATTAAGTGTCATCATAGTGCGCCATAAAGGCAGCGACAGAATACCAATCAAGAAAGGTGTAATACTATACAGAATGAGAAGTGTGAGGCATACGTGTTACGGGAGAGTACCTTAGTAACCTGCTCTTTGCCGATGACATTGCGTTGTTGAGTAACTCAGGGGACGACTTGCAATTCATCATTACTAAATTTGACAAGGAGAACAGAAAGATTGGTCTTAAAATAATTTGCAGAAGACGAAAGCAATGTACAACAGCCTCGGAAGAGAACAGCACATCGAAATAGGTAGCAGTGCACTTGAAGTTGTAAAAGAGTCCATCTACTAGGTAATTCCGAGGCGCCGAACCACGAGAATGAAGTAACTAGAAGAATAAAAATGGGGTGGGGCACATTTGGCAAGCACTCTCAAATCATAACTGGTAGACTGCCACCATCCCTCAAGAGCAAGGTATATAACAGCTGCATCTTACTGGTACTTACCTATCAAGCAGTAACCTGGAGGCTTACAAAGAGGGTTCAGCTTAAATTGAGGACGACGCAGCTAACGATGGACAGGAAAATGATAGCTGTAACCTTAAGAGAGAAAAAAAAAGCATAGTGGGTCAGGGAACAAACTGGCGTTAAGGATATCATAGTTGAAATCAAGAAGAAAAAATGGACATGAGCCAGGAGCGTAACACGTATACAAGATAACCGCTTGTCATCAAGGGTCACTGACCGGATTCCCAGAGAAGGCAAACGCACGAAGGGGAGACAGAAAATTAGGTGGCCAGACGACATTAGGATGTAGGAAGACGCGCGGCGTTTGGTTTGTAACATTTTTTTTTTCATTTATCCCTGCTCTGGCATGGACGTCCACAGACGCTTTCATTCTTGCTGGCGTCTTCTTCTCTCACCTGGCTCGAACGCGCGGAGTAGCTCCAGCACAACTTTTTCATCTTCTCCGAGACGCTGACGGCTTGCCATAGGGCCCCCCTCTAGCGAGGTGGCCAGTGCGCGAAGGAGTGACCCCTATGAGCAGGTTGTAGGTTCGCTGTTGCCAAGTGCTTTCCTCTGGTTTTTGCGGATGGCTTGTAGTCTTCGAGGAAGACGTGAGTTTCGAGGAAAGCCGGCTTTACGTGGTCAATGGAGATACTGTCTTCGCGTCCATTAAGCAGCAGAACGGAGTGCTTCGGGCAACGTTTGACGACCTTAAAGAATCCGTCATAAGGAGGTTGCAGTGGAGGTCTATTTGCGTCATGTCGTACGAAGATGTGGGTGAAGTCGCGGAGCGAACGACTGAGGAAACTTGTGCATGAGTGTTAACTTGCAGAAAGAGAAGACGCATCTCTCGTGGCATTCCTGAGGTGACTGGCATAATCAGCTACGTCTAACGGCGATACCAGTGACGTGTTGAAAAAATGTCCACGAATCCTTAGGGTAGTGCCATATATGAGCTCAGCCGAAGAGCAGGACTCGTCCGTACGCAGCACCGCAGGGCGAGGAGGACGAGTGGTAGTCGCTCCATCCAGGGTATCAACGATTGCGAGGCCATGAGCGAAGCTTTGAGCTGGTGGTGAAATCGCTCAACCATGCCATTCGACATCGGGTGGTAGGCCGTCGTCCTGATGTGGTTGGCACCAAGAATTCGGGACAAGGTGCGGAAGAGGGCGTAGTCGAATTGATGACCTCGATCCGTTGTTATGGTCTTGGGAACTCCGTAGCGGCTTGTCCACACGTTGATGAGTCCACGGGTGACTGGCTCTGCCGTGATGTCGTTGAGGGATAGTGCCTCAGGCCACCGCGTGAACCGGTCTACGCAGGTTAACATATACCGGCTGCTCTGCGATGAAGGCAAAGGGCCTACGAGATCCAGGTGCACGTGACTGAACCCTGAGTCAGGAGGCGTGAAGGTAGCCAGTGGGCTGACCGTGTTGCACTGGACTTTGGTTAGCTGGTACTTGAGGCAAGCACGTGTCCAGCGGCGGACGTCGATTCGAGCTCATTGATGCCGCCCTGTGATGAGGCGATGAGCCACACGTATACTGGGTTGCGACAAGAAATGCGAGGCGTCGAAGACTCTGTGGCGAAAAGGTGCTCGAACGTGAGGGCGAGGACAACCAGTAAAGATGTCGCAAACGAGGAAAATCTCGCAACCTGTAAGATGGACATCTTTGAACTCGAAGAAGTTCTTTTAGAGTCGCAACACTTAAAGCTCGCTGCCGTCCTGCTGTGCAGTAGCCATGGCTGTAAAACTGACTGCTGTGCGCTCATGTATAGTTGCGTTCATTTCTATTCGGAAAGTGCATCAGCGACGGAGTTGTCTTCGCCACTTATGTGCCGGATATCACTCCGATATGTAAGCAAGCTGGCGGATCTCACGTGGAGTGTGGGCAGAGGCTCTAGTGGTCGAATGACACGTAATCGGCTTGTGGTTGGTGAAGATATAGAACTGCTGACCTTCTAAGATGTGTCGAAAGTGCTTGACAGCCAAATAGGCAGTGAGCAGTTCGCGACCAAATGTGCTATAATTATGCTCGGTCTATGAGAGCATCCGTAAGAATAATGTGACCGGCTGCCAAACTACGTCAACCAACTGCTGCAAGACTGCTCCTATATGGCGACGTCTGAGGTGGCCAGTTTGACTGATGTGATGGCGTTGCTCTTTGGATGCGTGAGAAACGTTTCTTTAGCCAGAGCTTTCTTGATGAAACTGAGAGCTGTCTCTGCATCGCCCGTCCAGAAGATAGAAGCGTTGGGCTTCGTTTGACCGGATAGAAGTGCATGGAGTGGTTGCAAGATGGCAGCGCAATGAGGAATAAACCACCGGTATTAGTTTGCAAGCCTGAGGAATTCACGTAGTTTCTTCGTAGTTGTTGGTCATTGAAACTGCACTATAGTTTCGACACGCGCGGCTGGTGGAGAGATCCCACGTGAATCGACGTGATGGCCAAGAAAGTCTAGTGAGAAAACGCCCAACTCGCTCCTTGGTTCGTTGACGACTATAGCCCATATTTGCGGAGTCGTGTGGAAAGCTGACGCAGGTGAAGTTCATGATAAACTGCAGTGGGGCTGAAAACAAGGATGTTCTCGATGTACACAAAGCAGAAGGTCAAACCACGAAGCACCTGGTCCACAAACCAGTGAAATGTTTGTGCGGAGTCTTGTAGACCGAAGGACACAAGCATATATTCAAACATGCCAAAATGTGTTATTATAGCAGCCTTCCGTACGTCAGATGGCTCGACAGGTATTTGGTGGTATGCCTTTACTAATTCGATTTTGCTGAATATGGTGGAACCATGCAGCAATGAAGGGAAATCCTGGATGTGCAGTATTGGATAGCGGTCCGGTACCATCACTTTGTTGAGGGCGCGGTAGTCACCGCATGGTCTACAGTCACCCGAGGGCTTAGGAACCATGTGTAGCAGTGACGACCAGGCTCCGGAAGAGGGGCGGATGTATCCGAGTTCAAGCATGCGCTCGAATTCTCGGCATGCAATCTTGTAGCGGTCAGGAGCGACACGACGAGGACGTGCAAACAGCGGCGCTCCTACTGTCACTATGTGATGAGTGACATTGTGGCGTATCGGGTCTTCAAGAGATGAAGCATGAAAGAGGTAGGAAAATTCTTACAGAAGCATAGACCATGGCGGGGAGACTTTGGCATGAGCTTGCAAGAGACCAAAAGTGGCAAATTTGATGTCATGCCTTGAACTGTTAGGAGGGTCTCAAAATTCACGAGATGGCTATGTTGTAGGTCTACCAAAAGCTTAAAATGCCAAAGAAAATCCGCACCGATGATAGGTACATGCACGTCGACGATTAAAAAGATCCATCTAAACGCGCGTCAGGCTGATTTCAAGCGTAACAGACCTCTGTTTGTAGGTCCGTATGGTCGAATCATTGACCGCGGTGACAGGCGGCGAGGTCTGGCGTCGTCCGGGTCACCACTTGTAGGAAGACGTATGACGTTTGGTTTTCCACATTTTTTTTTATTTATCCCTGCTCTGGCATGGACGTCCACAGAAGATGTCGTTCTTGCTGGCGTCTACATCTCTCGCCTGGCTTGAACACGCGAAGTAGCTGTAGCACAACTTCTTTGTCTTCTCCGAGAGGCTGCCGGCTTACACTAAGGAAGTTTGCGGGTGTAAAGCTACGGCAGCAAGCACAAGACCCAGTTGACTGGTGGAACATGGGAGAGGTCTTTGTCCTGAAGTGGGTGTAGTCAGGCTGATGATGATGATGAGTGTTTTGATACCTCCACTGGCAAATGGTCCACGACCGGGAAAGGAAGATTGGTACCGTCATATGATAGCGTATTTGCGTACCGTATTTCCGTAACTTAGTAAGATTCTATAATTTTGCGTTGATTACGGGCCGTTGAGTGAACGAACAAATGCATAAAGGCACCATGAGCGTATGAATTGGACTTGACGTATCCAACACGCCAAACAAAAAAAGTCTATATCTCTTTCCTGCCCCAGTTTCTGCATTTGTAATGGCGTCGCAGCAGGTAGTATTAATGAGCTCCTCGTAAAGTTTCAAACATTTGGTACAGTGTGCGGAAAGATGTGGTTGTGGAACATCTTATAAGCTACAGCGTACAGACTGCCTTTTGTAGTGTCAGTTATAGTGTGCTCGAAGTCATAGTTTGGGACGTGTTTTGACGCCAACAGTATCTATTGCAGCTATTGTGCATATTTAAGAAAATAATAGTATACTCCCCACGCGCATCGCACTGGGTAATCTAGCGTGGAAATGAATGATAATAATAAAGAAAAATATGCATAAGGCTTGGTGCTCCGGTAACATTGGGCGCGTCAGTCATTTTTGTTTTGTTGTTGTTGGGTGCCGTCGGGGAATCATCGGGATGTGCCTCCGTATATGTTAGGGCCCATGAAAAGGCGGAACAGCAGTCGTTGGCGGAGCTTTCGGACCGAGAAAATACGGTGACTTCTGTCTTCAACCAGCGACGAACAGTCAGTAAACCTTCCTGTGCCACTACAAATTGACGAGAACACAATATCGGAGCTCTGTGCGCTTCGAAACTCCTCCGAACGGCAGCTGCACGAGACGCATAACTTTGCAAAGCGCAACTGTTTTTCTCTAGTGGTGTGTGTTTCCGATCTGTTGTAGGCGTTCAAAAAAAGTGTTGGATGGAGAAGAGATGTGCCTTTCAAACTTCTAAGATAACCTTAGAGGAATGCTTTTCATTATATTCCCCACAGCGACTATAAAAAGACGTCATATATAAAAAACCACGTTCTCCCTGAGTGATCTGCGTAACGCTAAGTCACATTCCTTCAGTCTTTTCCTTAGCCACAGATATATCTCTATACACCCTTCGAAATAGCGTGTCTCGTAGTTTTTTCAGATAAACATAAGATAAACGCGTTAATGAAGGGTGCGCTACAAATCAAACAAAATTACTGATTGGGTATTTTGATGGCATAGAAAGAGACAGCATCCCGAATGCTGCTTTTTAATGTGTAGTACTTGTTTGCAATGTCTAGCGGCCGCAATATATTGAGTATATTTAGTATTGTTGTTTTAGTTGTGACAGCGGCTTGCATCAGTGAGGGTTTCACATATGACCGCATCCTGTGTCATGGGTGGTATATGCTCTAAACCATGAGCCGCGTGCACGCTTTGCGAACTTTCTATGCACCCGCTACGTGGTCTTAAGATAATACGTTCAGTAACGTGTGTGCATGCTTTTTGTAATGGGTCATAATAATAATCGTCATCATCATCATCATCCTGACTACGTCCACTGCAAGACAAAGGGCTCTTACATGTTCCCCCCGTCAACTCGGTCCTGTGCTTGCTGCTGCCAACTTATACCCGCAAACTTCTTAATCTCATCTGCCCACCTAACCTTTTGTCTTCCCCTAACCCGCTTGCCTTCTCTAGGAATCCAGTTAGGCACCCTTAATGACCAGCGGTTATCCTGTCTACGTGCTACATGCCCGGCCCATCTCCATTTCCTCTTCTTGATTTCAGCTATGATATCCTTCACCCCGGTTTGTTCCCGAATACACTCTACTCTCTTCTTGTGTCTTAAGGTTACACCTACCATTTTTCTTTCCATTTCTCGCAGCGTCGTCCTCAATTTAAGCTGAGCCCTCTTTGTAAGTCTCCAGGTTTCTGCTCCGTAGCTAAGTATTGGCAAGATGCAGCTGTTATGTAGCTTCCTCTAGAGGGAAAGTGGCAATCTGCCTGTTATGATTTGAGAGTGCTTGCCAAATGGGCTCCACCCTATTATTATGCTTCTAGTTACTTCAGTCTCGTGGTTCGGCTCAGTGGTTATTACGTGTTATAAGTAGACATAGTCTTTTACAACTTCAAGAGAACCATTACCTATCTCAAAGCGCTGTTTTCTTCTGAGGTTGTTGTATATTGCTTTCGTTTCCTTCAGATTAATCTGAAGACCTACTTTCCTGCTCTCCTTGTCTTACTCTGTAATCATGAGTTGCAATTCGTCCCCTGAGTTATTGAGCATTGCGATATCATCGGAAAGTGCAGGTTACTGAAATTCTCTTCATTAACTCTTACGCCTAACTGTTCCCATTCTAAGCCTCTGAAAACCTTCTGTAAGCACGCGGTAAATAGCATTGGGGAGATTGTGTCCCCCTGCCTTGCACCCTTCTTCATTGGTATTCTGTTGCTCTCTTTATGAAGCACTATGGTAGCAGTTGATCCCCTGTAGATTTCTTCCAGAATGTTTATATATACTTCATCTACGCCCTGATTCCGCAGTGTCTGCATGACGACTGATATTTCTACTGAATCAAACGCCTTCTCGTAATCTATGAAGGCTATGTATAG